CAGGCCCTCCCGGTGTTTTCTGTCCGTCACTGTGTGGTGGTTGGAAGGGAGAGGCGGGGGGGGGAAGGGGGGGGGGGGGGGGCGGTACGCACCCACCCACCCGCCCGCGCGCCCGCCTTCCTATTGGGCGCGGCCGCCGTCCGTCCCCGCTGGTGCCCGCAGGAAGGTTCGGTTGACCGCGTGTTGTGAGGCGAGCTGGGAAGTTGGGTTGGCGTCGCGGGGCTGGGTCGCCGTCGCTGAGGGGGCGGCGGAGTAACAGCAGCAGCCGCCGTTGCGGCCGGGCGGCCGGGAACACGAAGCCACCGCCACCGCCGCCGCCGCCGCCGCCACCTGAGCAGGCCGAGCCTCCCTTCCCTTCCTCATCCGTCGCCTCTTCCTCCTCGTCCGCCAAGAGCTGCAATTTAGGCGGCAACATAATCCGGAGCAGCCCCATCCCCCAACGGGTCACCCGCAGCAGCAGCAGCCGCAGCAGCCATGACGCTGGAGTCCATGATGGCCTGTTGCCTCAGCGACGAGGTGAAAGAGTCGAAGCGCATCAACGCCGAGATCGAGAAGCAGCTGCGGAGGGACAAGCGCGACGCCCGCCGGGAGCTCAAGCTGCTCCTGCTCGGTCAGTTCGGTGGCGGGGAAGGGAGAGGCCGGGTGGGAGGGCCTGTCTCCCGGGGAGGAAAGGCGGAGGCGACGCTGCCTCGGCTGGGGAGGGAAGGCCCCATCTTTGCTCCCCCACCCCAAGCTCTCCGGAAAGGCCGGCTCCCCCCTCGGCTCTTCGGCCGGACTTATTTCTGCTGCGCATTTCCCTGCCTCGAGCGACGCCCGGCCAGAGGGTCTTCCTCCCGGGGGCCTGCGGTGCCCGCTGCTCCTCCGTAGTGTCGGGGGGGGGGGGCTTTTTGCTTTCCCCCGGGTGGGTCCCTCGGAGGGCTAAGTCTGAACGTCTCCCCTGTGAATGGACACGTGTGTCGGCTGGGTGACTTAAATGCGCCTGCAAAGGAGATAGGTGGGGGTATACTTGCATTCGTATGTATGGTCAGGTACGTGTGTGATATATACAGTTATATGTATGCATGTATGTCTGTGTGACATGTGCACACAATTATATGTATACATGTGTACAGGTCTGTGATACATACACACAATTGTAAGTTCCTGTGTGTGATCTATACAAACACGTATATGTTTGCAATCATGTATATACAGGTGCGATATATATACATACATACATATATACATACAGGTATGCATGTGATATATACATGGCTTATATGTGCACGCAATTATTTGTATACATGTGTATGTGACGTATACACACAATTGTATGTATACATATTTACATGCCTGATATGTGCACACAATTATATGTACACTTGTGTGTATGATATACAAAGAAGTATATATGTTTGCAATCATGTATATACAGGTGTGTGTGTGATTATACAATTATATATACGTATGCATGTGGTATATGTATACATATCTAATAGGCGCAAACAATTATTTTTATGTCTATATGATATATACAATTGTATATGTGCAATCATGTGTAGATCTGTACAATCATGTATATGTGTGCAAATAGGTATATGAGTTGTATACATTTTATAATTTTATATATATGTGTGTGTGTGTGTATAATTATGCAATTTTTTATACACAGTTATAGATTAGTGTGATATGTGCAGTATTGTGTACATACACAGACATGCATCTGCCAATGTTTGCATGTATCTCTGTGTGCCTTTTTCATTACTCTACTTACTATTTCCTTTCTGGTAGATGTTTGTCTTCCTCACTTTCTCTGGGTCCTGCTGGTTTCAGTGGGCTTTTCTGCTTTTCTTATTGGTGTTTATGAGATAGATGCTTCTTTTTCTGTAGCCCTGCCTGCCTTTCTCTTTGCCTTCTATCTAACCCACCCTGCCCACCTCCCTGCTCAGGCTGAGTATCTCAAGGGCCCTTTCCCATTCTCTGCTTTTTCATCCTCACAAGAAAGAGAGCTAGGACAGTACTCAGAAGGGGTTCAAGGCTTCTTTGCTGTCCAGGTAGACCGTCCAGGTGCTCCTTTTCTTAAGGGGAACTTTTACATCCCTATTATATAGGGAGGGGATGGTTTCTTTTAGGCAACATCATCATCTTTGTGGGTCTTTAATATTCACAGCAGCCCTCTGAGGTAGGGTCAAAAAAGAAAGGGAGAATTTCATTTCCTCCCCAAAACTTCCCCAGAAATTTCTTGAAATGGGAATCTGTGCAAGGGCCTTTTTCTCTTCTTCCTGCATTTGTCATTCCTCCTTCCTCTGAATCCCATGTGATATTAGGGTGGGATTTATTTGGCTTCTATTTCCATCTCTCCCTCATTTCCTGACAGATCAGCTCAACATATTCTGAGCATATATGATTGCTGGGCCTGTTTGATCATCAATTGTGCGATGTTTTACTGAAGCGACTGTAATTGGCAGCGGGAATAGTTTTCTAGGATTTATGTGCATTAAAATCTTGTTGATTTTTATGTCCTCATTTGCACTTTTTTCAGTCTTTAACTTTCACTCCCTGTCATCCAATTTCTTCTTATATTATTTGTGAGGCTTTGCATCCTATTTCAACCACCCTTATTTCTGTCACTTTCCCAAGTCTTTTCTCTATTCCAATTCTGTGGTGGTCAGTTTTTTAAAAAAATAATATTATTGTCAATTTGTTTTGCACTTTGCCTTGCCTGACTCTTATTGGGTATACATATTCCAAAATATTGGAGTTTAGAAAAGAAGATTGAGAGGAGAGGAGAGGAGGTTACATTGATTAACATCAAACTCTTACAGGAAACTCTGCTTGTTCATTTGCACTCTGAGCAGGAGTTTTAGAATGTAAGGAACTGCAGTCAGTTTTATAAAAAAAAAATTTTTTTGCTTCAGTTTATTACCCATTAATTTGAGATTCATATTCCGCTATCTTCACACCTCTTAGAAATAATCCATGTTTGAGCATACACTTTTCTTGTTCATTCCATCTCTTCTTTCCATAGAAAGAATGGTAAAAAGTTCAAACATGCATAATTTAATAAGGCACAGAGAACCGGTTGATAGGATTATATGCAGGTTGAGGATGGCATTTCTCAAGCAGGACCTTTAAGAAACAGGAAAGAAGTTTTGAAGTAGCCAGGGTAATAATTATTAGATGCATGGTTAAAGTAACGGGAATTGGCTCATCCCAGTGGGAGAGGAACCGGATATCAAGAAGAGCAGGTACAATCAGAATCTTGATGGAGGCAGCTATAATTTCACTGAGGGACATTGTCTGATGTGGATGTGCTGGGATCCATATTCCCTAGCCAATAACACTTGTTAGGGACTCTTCCTGACTACTAGCCAACTTCCTTTTATGTAAGTGTTGCATTCCCCTTCTCTCTAGTAAAAAAAATGCCCTTCCTATGTCAGACATAGATTATAAGATATCCGTCCTGTTGCCCATCCTCCTTTAACCTTGTTTGCAACCCTTTAGATTTCTTCCGTGTTGTTTTTCTATAATTTATATCCTGCTTCCTAGCTAAGCGGATCTCCCAGTGCCTGTTCTTTGCCCCCCCCTCCCCCTGTTCCAAAGTCACCCCCTTCATAATTGTCTCCATCTGTAAGTGTGGAATGTTTGCCTTACTTTCAAAAAGCATGAAGTATAAAGCCTCTGTCCTCTTCTCCTCTCCACCCTCTCTGGTGACTTTTCTCTTCCTTTGGTACAGTGTCTGCCAGTGTTGTTTAGATGCATTACTTCCTCATACCTAGCAACCTTATTTTCAGTCTTCCATGCTTTCAAAGGAATTTGCTCTCCTTTCTTTTCTCTTGAGCTATTCCTTCTCCTCTATGTCATTTCTGACAGCTTTCATCACTGATGTTTGCAGTGATGCACTGAGTCCCCCCATACAGCTTTATGCAGTCTTTCTTTGGCTTCTCTTCTACCTGCCTACCTTGTGTTCCAAATGAAACCATACCCAGGTGAGGAAAAATATTTATGAACTTTAAAGCCTTAGCAACATTTTTAAAGATTTGGTTTTAAACTTTACCTTTCAATCCTAAATAAGGCTGAAAAGGGGTCTGAGGAGGGTTGTGTTCTTGTTTTGGGGGCTTCTGCCTTGGAGGTTGGGTTTTTAAGTCTTTTAAGGCCTGCGTTGGGCAGCAGATGACTTGCTTAATTGTAAACTTCAGACTTTGCATTCTGGGTTCACAAAATGGTGAATTTTCTTTCAGTTGCACTAGTAATCCATTTCTTAGTTGACATAACCTTTTGGGGGAAATAAATCTCTGTCACTTCAGATCTTATAGGACCAAGATGTTGGTGGTGTTAGTAGAACATTTTTTTTAAAAAAAGTGAAGAACTGATTTGTAAATCTCTGGTGTTCCTAAGAGTGTTGGACTCAGATTTAACTCAGGCTGCTTTTCTGTTTTGAATTAGGGATGCAGTCAATCAGTCTCAGAATTAATTTTCAACTACATTGATGTTCTGTTTATACAGCCCAGAGCTAAAGGGCAAAAACCTGTCAGTGGATTCAATATTTTACACTTTTTCAAAATCTAATGAATATTTTTTCCATGATAGTTTTTCCTTGTGAAAAGAGAAATTTTGAAATGCGGATCTTTGTTGCATCTTTGTTGTTATTATAGTTGTAGAACAGGAAATTTCCAGATACAATAACTACATCTTTTTTTATTAGTGTTTCTCAACCTTGGTAAGTTGTTGGTGAATGGACTTCAGTTCCCATCTGCCTTCAACTTGCCAAGATTTAGAAACATTGTTTTATATCATTAACAAGACATTATCAGTCTTCCCTATAATTAAACTTTGCCTTCTCATGTTTTGTTCCACAGTGTTTCTTGCCAGACTTTAGCCCTCATCCAAATGATTGTGGTGTTTCTGTTACCTCTAGTAATAACTATTAAAACAAATCTTTTGCAATTAGTTATTGCTGTGTAGCATGATATTAGTATTACTGTGTATTTTAAATGGATGGATCCAGAGGAAACATTCATTAAAAACATATCAATGATGACATTACTTTTGAAATATACCTACTTTGATAAGTATCTGATTCTGTGTTTGTAAGACAGTTTAAATTACAGGCATAGTTATTGGCGTGCTGACTTCAACTCCAGGTTTTATGTCAAAGAGCATAAAAAGTGGAACATGAAATAGGCAGTGAATAACTCTTCTCCATCTCTGGAAGACACAAGAATTTCAACCTCCCTGGCAAGGACACGTTATTAAAAATTTGGTCTCATATAATCAAGGCAGTTGGCTACAAAACAAATTTGCAGAGCAATATTTTTTTGAAATAGCTTATTAGATTATGGAAGAGGACTAATTGAAAGCAAGTGAACAAAAGGTTAATTGAATACACTGTTGTCTCCATAATGTAGACCTTTTATTCTATGATATTTCTTTGTATTCCTTAAAATTACATACACATTAATGAATGGTTACTGTTAGGCATTTTTCTAAAATGTTGAAAGAAATCCTACATCTTTTTACTTTGTTACTATTGCCAGCCAGAATGATCATGGAAATCCCCTCAGATCTTGTCTCACGAGTGTACACAAATTCTTGCACCCATATTATGTTAGATTATTTTGTGTTCTTTGGTGTTGTTGTTTTGCCCCTTATCCTTGTGATTGCATTTGTTAGTAACCCTTAAGTGACACGGTATGTATCTTCGCTCGGTTTGGATAGAAAACATTGTGCTGTTTTGTCAGGAAATAATGACCTTTTTTAAAACACCTTCTTTTTTTAGCTAATAGTGTAATAGAAATATGATCTGACAATTGAAATGGATATAGGATTGAATCCTTGTAAATAAATTCACAGCAATTACTGACCTTAAGAATTGTTTACTTGACTAGTCTGAGATAGTGACATGGCTATTAGATTCTTAGCAAGTGAGCTAAGAGAATACTTACAACTATCCAGGCCAAATCTCCAAACTTGGCAACTTTAAGACTTGTGGACTTCAACTCCTAGAATTCCCTAGCCAGCAGGGCCGGATGAGGAATTCTGAGAGTTGAAGCCCACAAGTCTTAAATTTTCCAAGTTTGGAGAGCCCCGAAATAGAGCACCTTGGTGTGTTATGCTGCTCTGTATGGAATTTCTAAGGTTAACTGAGTGGAAGTTTTTCTTGTCAGAATGGTATTTGTCAAATTTAATTTAATTTTTTTAAAGGTTTTATTTAGGTGATCTTCAGAAATACATTATCATGCACAGTTCTGAAGATAAGGCAAAATCTTTTCATTCATTTGCAGTATTTTACATAAAATAAAGGATGGCTAGGCAATGTAGCCCTTGTAAAACTTCTAGGGGATGGCTACGCAAATTACAAATGGCTGAAGAGTTGCACAGTTTTCATTTTTTTGTCTGAAATCTCACAACACTTCAGAACGCTGTAGTGTTGTGGAATCTTGGGAATGAAATTGCTCCAGCCTTGGCAAGTTTGGGGCAATTTTTAAATGTTTGGACACCTACAAATTAATTGTAGGGGTTCCAATAGAAATAATTTCCATTTTTTTTAAAAAAAATCATTTTTGTATATAACACGTGTTACTATTTCTGATTATTTAAAGCATAATTACTTTTAACTTTGAGAATTGTTCAGATATACTACATTATTTGTTTTTGTTTACTGAATATAGGAAGTCAAGTAGCAGCCTTTATTATGATTATGAAGAACATTTAGAACTCCAATTGTTGGTCACTTTTATTAAATGTGCCCACATTTTATGTTTATGAGGAAAACTCCCAGCAGTGCCAATCTGTCACTGAGCAGTAGCATCATCTGGAGGAAGTTATGATGTGCATGGATTCCCTCCCAGTCCACTGGAGAATCCTTAAAATGTCATCATTTTAAAAAAGTTTTTTCCCCTAAGTTGTCCAGACTTGCCAATGTTGATGTGTGTGCGTGAGAAGGAAAAGAAGGCCTTTCTAACTGAGCTGCCCTTCATTTGCCAAAGCAAAAATCGGCTCCTTATTCTGTGAGCATTTTTTTTTAACACAACGTAAGCTGCTAATTTTTACCACTCACTTTTGCCCTGCCAAAAAAAGTGTGAGTGCTCATATAAAGTACTGCTGGTGTGTTTCCTTTAGAAGCGTTATCTTCTATTTGCATAGGAAGAAAATTGGTGAAGTCATGTAAACATATCCCAAAGTTGTTGGCTTTAGTTTCTAGAGAGGAAACAGGTTGGCAAGAGACAACCTGGTGTGGATCTTGTCCAGTCCCTGGATCACCGCAATCAGTTGCTGGCTGCTGTTTTGGTTGGGTGAGGCAGGAAGAATTACTCTATTAATCACACAGGGATTAAAAGCTAGAGGTTCCTAGTATTTATACCAGATCTAGATAGTCCACAAACCTCACATTTCCTGCCATTCAGGGGCCAATGCCGGCCTCTGTGACTCCTCTATGTACCTGATGAAAACCCTAAAAAGCTGTGCATTCACAGGCCTTGTTTGTTATCACTTACTTTGCACATATTTGTCCTGTCATAATGTAATTGAAATTTAATAGTAGGAATTCTAGGTTTCTTGCCAGTTTAAAACTACCCTGGAGAGAACAGCCTTCATAAAGTCTGGTGGCAACTAGCGGTTATTCAAAATTATTCTATCTTACACAAGAATGCATAATTGTGAGAAGAAAGATATAAGAAAGAAGATATTGCCTCCTAAAATTTTAATAGGGGATCGCGGGTTTTGAAAATATTTTCCAGAGCCACATACATACGTAGGTACATATGGATTTATTGGCCGATTCAAAGTCTTGCCATTCCAGTAAAGTTTGTGAACGTATTTATTAGCCAATCCAGGAGCTTTTCAATCAATCAGAATAGAACTGGAAGGGACCTTTGAGGTTTTCTAGTCCAACCCTCTGCTCAAGCAGGAAACCTGTACCATTTCAGACAAATGATTGTCCAATCTCTTCTTAAAAGCCTCCAATGAGGGAGCATCCACAACATCCGATGGATGAATGGAATGAGATGGAATAGAAATATCTTTCTACATGAAAGGACACAGCTGCTTTCAAAGGGTTTCATTCAAATAACACAGAAACATATAATTTAATATTTTCTCAGTTTCCGTCGCTGCTTGACCACTAGAAAAGGGCTCTATTTTAAATAGGCTGTGATAGTCAACTTGTATTTGCATAGGGCTGAAGGTTTGGGGAAGTACTGCAAAATTGGAAGAGCTAACGTTTGGTCAGGAAAGATAAAAATCTTGAAAGAGAGCCCAGCAATGCAGAGCTTAAATAATGTCAAGGAGTGTAAACTGGATGTTGAAGGAATATTTTAAATATTCAGAGTACTATTGAGAAGCAACATATAAATATCTAAAATAAAGTGAGAGCATATCGGCTTCATTTAAATTACTGTACTCACTGTAGCACCTGAAAAATACGTACCATACATACTCACACAATTCTCATAAGGGTAATTCTCATAATTCCAAACCCCTAATTTTTGAATGAGAAAAAGAAAAAAATCACATTGCCAGAAACACAAACTTTGAGTAAAGAATTAGACTTACAAATCAACAGAATGTTGCAACCCCTCCTTTCTCACAACAAACTCAATTAAAAGACTGTCCAAAGGAGGCTAATTTTCAGGGCTTTATAGGGAGGCATGTCACCTGGCTGCATCTGGGAATAAGGTGCGACTAGGAGGGAGCCAAACTATGCCAGAGTGATAAGAAAGTATCAAGTGATGTTGGTTTTTTTGCGAATATTCAGAGAAAAATAAAATATTCCAAAGGAGATTATTTTAGGCAAAAAGCTTAGAAGAGCCTCTTCATTTTTCTAGATGACTAATCTCTGAGGTGTACAACAGCTTTTCTGGACAAAATGTTTGAGATGAAATTAAAATTTGGGATTGCACAATTAGCCAGTATACCAGCTTCTGCATGCTGGCTTTTCTTTTTGATGGAAACTCAATTTCATTGAGGGCTGCATCAGGGTTTTGTTGGACCTTGGTGGGGCATGGCCAGATCGACATCACTCATGTTGTGCACACCTGTGGTGGCCCGGGCGGGGCTGGGGGGGAAATCTTCCTGCATCCCTCTGCCAGTAAAAATGGAGCTCAGGAGGGCTGCGTGTGGCAGAGGGCTGCAGGAGGCCATTGCAGCCAAAAATGGAGCTTGGAAGGGCTGCGCATGGCCCTCCCAAGCTCTGTTTTGTCTGGTAGGATGGCCCTGCGGGCTAGATCTAAGCACCCCCTGGGCCGGATCCAGCCCTTGAGCCTTGAGTTTGATGCCCCTGTGCTAGAAGTTGTAATAAGCATGCTTCTTAAAAGCTTCCAACACAGCATGTTTTAAATGTTCCACTGTATTAAAATATGGTTTCCATCTTTGTGAAGAGTCAGTGAGGAAGAGTGGATTTTTGACAGTCAGATGGTTTGGGAGAAAGTTGTTTGAACTGAGCAACTGAGAAAAAGTGATCCCATACTTTGAATAGCTACCATATTACTAGATGGATACCTGTGCTTCGCTATGAAACTATGTGATCAGGCTTGGTTAATATAAAGCAACTGGGAAGTAAACTCCCAACTCACAGGCTGGATGAGTCATGCGCTGGTCAAACCCACTCCCAGTTTAGCGGAGGGGTAGCATCAGGGCGTGTTAATATAAGGCACCTGGCAGTTGGAACAGAGTTCTTATCAGGTCGATAGGGGGAGTAGAACATCTAACTTCTTAGCATCAGAGTGTGTTAATATAATACTGTATAAAAAATACTAATGATCGGATGGTCATTTCGAAAAATCCTTTCTTACTTACTACTTGCCACATTTCAAGTTTGTAGGATTTACAGTTCTGGAGATTTGGCAATGAGTGAGTGATATTTGGCTTTTATATATATAGATTTATGAGAGCTTGTAATTTACCCAACTTTATAAATGCGATCAGGAACCAAGCCTGATAAATGCCATTTCTTGGCTCCAGAACTAGTTTCCATGGTAATGCTTGATCTCGCCGATCCCACTGTGCCTCAGTGCATGTACAGAATGCTTTTCTCCTATCACAGAAGTAATATAAAATCTGTTCCTGTCTCTGTGCTAAGCGTAGGTATGTTGTTTGTCTTCTTCATTCTGACTTTCTTCTTTCAGCGAAGACCATGCATAACAGAGCAGCTTTTCAGTACAGGTTGGGGCGATTTGAAGCTTTTTGGTCCTTCCGTGGAAGGGTCGATGTGAGGCTCTTTTACCACTAGGATTGCAACATAGAATTAACCTTCCTTCTGTTTCGAAAAGAAGTGGCAGTTTCTATTATAAGCATACCATTTTATTTTACAAGGCTTTTTGTAGGCTTTATCCCCGTGTGGCCCGACTGGCTCTTAAAAACAAATTGTATCATAAAAATTCATGCCAGAAAATAAAGCAAGAGAAAATAAAACTTCCATTTAAAGTTGCTTTGTTTTAAAACCTATTTTATCCTATCCCGCCCCACATTTCTTTTTCCAGGCACAGGAGAGAGTGGGAAAAGTACCTTCATTAAACAGATGCGGATAATCCATGGCTCGGGCTACTCCGAAGAGGATAAAAAGGGTTTCACCAAACTGGTGTACCAGAATATCTTCACTGCCATGCAGTCAATGATCAGGGCTATGGAGACCTTAAAGATCCTATACAAATATGAGCAAAATAAGGTGAGGCTCATCGCTGCAGAGCAGTCTGCATTTCTCTGTCCTTTCCCCCCCTCCTCATTTAACTTTTTTTATTTGTTTATCAAAGTATAAAATACAAAGAAAAAAGAGCACGACAAAGTAAGAAGAGAGGGAGGGAAAAAGAAGGGATATAGTGTAATGGGAGAAAAAGAAAAAAAGGAAAAGGTACCCACTCCCGACTCTCTTCAGCACAATAGAAGGTAACAACATCACAACCACAACTTTTTGCTGCGGGTATTTTATGAGTATTCCTATAACAATAAGCCTATCCGGTTTACAGAAACAACGGTCTGCGTTTCTTTGTCCTGTCCACTTTGCAGAGGTGGGCTGCGCAGCTTCCATAATTCATAAGGTTTCATAATTCAGAGGACTCAAAGAGCAGTGCAAACTAGATCCAGAAGTTGGCTTTTGTAAGAATCGAAGTGCGGGTAGTCCTCGATTTAATGACCGCAATTAAGCCCAAAATGTATGTATGAAATATTTGTTAAGTGACTTTGCCCCATTTTACGACTTTTCTTGCCACAGCTGTTAAGTGAATCACTGCAGTTGTTAATTTAGTAACACGGTTAAGTGAATCTGGCTTCCTCATTGATTTTCCTTGTCAGAAGGTCGCAAAAGGGGATCATGTGACCCCCAGGACACCGTCATTAATATGAACCAGTTGCCAAGCTTTTGAATTTTGATCACGTGACGGGGGATACTGCAATGGTCGTTAAGTATGAAAAATGGTCATAAGTCACTTTTTTCACTGCCGTAACTTTGATCGGTCACTAAATGAATGGTTGAAAGTCGAGGACTACTTGTATAATTGTCCCTGAGTAGTGAGGCAGAAACATTTTAAAATCTTTTTAATCTCAGTTTATTGGGTGCCATATTATTGGAGGGAGGATGCCCGATGGGTCTAAACCAGGGCTGTTCAATCTTGGCAAGTTTAAGACCTGTGGACTTCAATTCTCCAAATTCTTAGCCAGCCACGCTGGCTGGGGAATTCTGGAAGTTGAAGTCCATGGGTCTTACACTTGCCTAGATTGGATACCCCTGGTCTGGAGGAAAAGGTGCTTTTTATAGGCGGAAATGCTCTGAGAAACATCTGCGAGTTGACCACCAGCTGAATTTTGCACTGGATCCTCCTCTTGTTGTTAACATGAAGCTCCAGCAGTAGGATAGGAAAAGGAAATGAATAAATAAAAGTCCCAAAGGTGCTTTTTCAAGAGCAACTGGACTTTCTGGTTTTTCTTTGAAGACGTTTCACTTCTCATCCAAGAAGCTTCTTCAGTTCTGAAACACTGAAGTTCTGAGAACAGAATTGAAGAAGCTTCTTGGATGAGAAGCGAAACGCCTTCAAAGAAAAACCAGAAAGTCCAGTTGCCTATTGGGGGGAAAAAAGCACCTTTGGGGACAACCGTGGGCTGGATGACTGAGAATCTCCATAGAGTAAATAAAAGCCAATTCCTGCTGAAAGGGCTGGGACAGGATCCGAGTAAGCCATTAACACCAGATTTGTTCTCTCCTCTCATCCTGAATGAAGGCCAATGCACTACTGATCCGAGAAGTGGATGTAGAAAAGGTTTCATCCTTTGAACAACCCTATGTAAGTGCAATTAAGACATTGTGGAATGACCCAGGAATCCAAGAATGTTATGACCGGCGGCGAGAATACCAACTCTCTGACTCCGCTAAATAGTAAGCCAAGTTACTGTCACTTTTTTTTATGTCTTCCCTTCCTGAAAACTTTAAAAGGAAGAGGAACTTCGGGAAGTTCCTCTTGTTGAGTAGCCTGAACTCTGTTCTGTGTACTTTTAATCCATTGGTTTGTTTCTTTCCTCTGGAACTACAGAAACCAATTCCTAGTATGTAACAAGCTCCTACATTATTACAGTATTACGTATTTGAAGAGTCATGGTGGCTCAGTGGCTAAGACATTGAGCTTGTTGTCGGCAGTTCAGCGGTTCGAATCCTAACGGAGTGAGCTCCCGTTACTTGTCCCAGCTTCTGCCAACCTAGCAGTTCGAAAGCATGTAAAAATAGTGACCACCTTTGGTGGGAAGGTAACAGTTCCGTGCGCCTTCGGCGTTTAGTCATGCCGGCCACATGACCACGGAGATGTCTTCAAACAGCGCTGGCTCTTTGGCTTAGAAACGGAGATGAGTACCGCCCCCTAGAGTTGGGAACGACTAGCACATATATGCGAGAGGAATAGCAATAGCAATAGCAGTAGACTTATATACCGCTTCATAGGGCTTTCAGCCCTCTCTAAGCGGTTTACAGAGAGTCAGCATATTGCCCCCAACAATCTGGGTACTCATTTTACCCACCTTTACCCACCTAAGAGCCAAGGTGGCACAGTGGTTAAATGCAGCACTGCAGGCTACTGCTAGATCAGCAGGTCAGCGGTTCAAATCTCACCGGCTCAGGGTTGACTCAGCCTTCCATCCTTCCAAGGTGGGTAAAATGAGGACCCGGATTGTTGTTGGGGGCAATATG